CAATGATGTATCATTTGTCATATTTGGACACCAAACATGGGATTTAGAGGGGGGGGGTCAAATTTACCCCCCCAGCATATCCTGGTTTTCAAGTACCCCAGCAGGGATAGGGTTAAAAAATCTTTAACTATTTCAATAGGATTTAGAACAAATACCTGATTTAAAATGCGTTCCCAACTTATAACAAGTTCTTGATAATAAGAACAAGTTAACAATTTTAACCATTCTTTTCAAGCAATTCCCATTCTATTCCTTTCTGCTCTTTTACAAATTGTTCCAATATTTTTAAGAATGCATTCTAAGCGTTCCTTTTTTGGAATAATGGGATCCTTCTTGATCATTCTGTTTCTTCTCGGGAAAGAATGATTGTTCCACCAGGAAAGCGCCCAGCCCTAAGTCCAAGGACAGGTCTGTGAGACCCTGTAGGACCATCTCTGTAATTGCTGCAATCCATAATACTGAGAAGAAAAATATTGAAAGAGCACCCTAGAAGAAGAGAAAACACATCCAATTTTTAGTTTCATCACCTTTTCCAAAATTGTAACAGAAATTGTAATTGATTCTGAGCCAACCTCTAATGCACCAATGCCACCATCAAATATCAATAATCATTTGTCTGATTCTTAACCTGATTCTCAGTCTGAGCATAAAACAGAATATGAATTATTTATGGAGCACATGGTAATAAAATAAATGTTGTAGTGCCCTTTAAAATAATAAAAAATATCTACATAGTTATACAGATGCACACAGACGGGTGCATTCAAGGATGTAATGCAAGGAAAGTTAATTGGGGTCATGTCTACTCTGCGTACATATTGAAACCAGTTCTCTCTGTGTGGAATTTGTAAACAAGAATAGATGCATCAGTGTTCGTTTAGTATCTGAAGAGGTGAAGAGCACTCAATTTTGGTAATTTTGATAATTCACATAAAAGTTTCCTATGACCAGAAGATTATTTTATGTGAAAGATGGATCCTATGTCAGGCTTTGACATCTGCTTGTGTTTACATTACTGCCCAGAGACAGTATACTGCCTTAAAAAAGATGCATACACTTCTGAAATAACTTTTCTTGCATTACATCCTTTGTTCATTCACAAAAACTTTTCAGTCTTTATAGGGTTAAAGGATTTAACCCTATAAATTCAGTCTCCCCCTAACCCTGCTAGCAACAACACATCTCTGTGACTCTCTCTCTCCTAGCCTCATACCAGCTGACCCAGCTAGCAGTTGCTATGGCGGGGAGTTTAAAACACAAACAATGAGAATTACACATAAACTCTTGGAGTTGTATAGAGAAGGAGTGGATCTAAGACTGGATATCAAGCTTAACCTGTGGACTAAAGATGGAGAAGAATTTTTCTCATTTTCTAGAGTTTCTCGACCCGTCAACAGGAGAAGGAGAAGAAACAGAGGTGTGATGTCAACTCTGAAGGAAGTGAGACTACCCCAGCAAGAAGTGCAGTCTCCCCTGAAGGAAGTGCGGTCCCCTCTGAAGGAAGTGCAGTCACCCCTGAANAATGTAGTTTTTCCATTTATGAAAGTTGTTAACTTGTAATACAATTGTAATATCTTAATCTCTGCTACAAAATAAATATTTAGATCTAAAAAAATTCATTCACAAAAAGCTTGACTTTCACTAATTGTAATTTGTAATTGATTAATAATTACAATTTAACATATACATGCAAATATAAGATGTAAATGTGTTAAATTATAATAATAAATAAATTTCTTATTTTAGGCAGACATCAAAAAATAATTTCCTATTGTTTCTTTGGAAACTTGAAATCTGTATACTATGACGGTATTCAGGACAACCTCAAATCTTTAGATGTAAGCTTTGTGATCTTCTAAATCAAGTTTCTTTCATGAATTTCTTTTTTAAGTGTCAGAAAATAAACAATTATCAAAATATATTGCCTACTTCAGAAACATCTTTAAAAAAACCACAACAATTGCAAGGTCACTTACAGTTTCTTTAATTAGAAATATTATCCTGGTTGGATTATGAGACTTTACCTGGATCCAACCAAGCTGGATAACAATGCTTCAAATAATCTTTGTACCCTATCTTGTGACACTAACAGGTAACTTTTCATCATCAGTATTCTCTGAACAGTATGTTTGACACTACATGTTTATCTGATTGATTATTTTGGTTTCAGAATGTCTCCTTCCCAAGTTATCGCTAATGACTTGTGCTGGGCATTTTAAAACTTTTTCAATCTGTTTTTCATTGATTAATGAAAAGAAAAGCTCACTAATTAGCTGTTTGTTCTTGAACTGAACTTTTAACCGTCTATATACAAAGCGGTCGATATCGACTGCTCACTTTAGTCACCGAGTACCCCCTTATTGGTTTACAATTTTTTTTTTTTTGTTAAAGTTTTGCGTAACTTGAGAACCCAGAAACCAAGTTCAAGCATATTTTTGTTTGTTTTTGTTTTTATTCA